AAGTCGGACGCTTAACCGACCAAGCCACCCAGGCGCCCCTGCCCTTTGTATTCTTGTATAAAAATTTGCACTAGTTTCTTGATTTCCACAAAAATCTTCTGAGATCTTTACTGAAATTACAATCAATCTATATGGTAATGACTGGAGGGGCACCTGGATGGCTCAGTTGGTTAAGCGTCCGAATTTGGCTCAGGTCATGATCTCACGGTTCTTGAGTTCGAGCCCTGTGTCAGGCTCTGTGCTGACAGCTCAGAGCCTGGAACCTCTTCGGATTCTGTGTCTCCCTCTGACCCTGCCCTGCTCCTGCTCTGCTCCTGATCATGCTCTGTCTCTCAAAAAGTAATAAATATATGGTAATGACTGGAGAATTCACTCCTTAAAAATCTGCACACTTGACATATCACTTTATTTATTCAGGTTTTAAAATTTCCTCTCAACAGTAATTTGTAATATATAATGTGGAAGCTGTAATACTTTTTAATATGATTATTCTGAGGTGTTTGTTTATTTGGATCCTATGATATATACATGCATACATTTCCCTCCATTTTATTCTCTAACTTTTGCTGCCATATATAAAAATGCATCTTCCAAGGCAGCTGGGTGGCTCAGTCAGTTAAGTGTCCGACTCTTGGTTTCGGTTCAGGTCATGATGTCATGGTTCGTGAGTTTGAACCCCACGCTGGGCTCTGTGCTGATAGCACGGAGCCTGCTTGAGTTTCTCTCTCTCCCTGTCTCTGACCCTCCCAAGCTTGCACTCTCACTCTCTCAAAATCAATAAACTTAAAAAAATCCATCTTCTATTTATGTCTTGATGGTGAATCCAACTATATTGTTATATTACTTTGCTCATTACAACATTTCCTCTGATGATTCTTTTCCATTCTTCTGTAAAGGCAATCATGTAGCATGTAAATAATGAGAATTTTATAGTTTCCTTTCCAGACCTTTGACATTTTACTCCTTTCCCTTGCCTTGACGTTCAGTACAGGGTGGAATACAAGTGAGCATTGCAGATGTGTATGGTCAATATTCCCCTACAATAATGACTGGAACCCACAACGACCAAGGAATCACATCTGTCTTCAAGTGCAGATTAAACTGGAACCACCGTGCAGTAGAGTTACTTTGCTGGCAGATGTAGGTTGATTTCACCAGATCACATGGCCACTTAGGAACTAAGAATAAGTCATGCTCTAACTAGAGTTTTGTCTTCCCCCAGAATGCGCTTTTTCTTAAATTATATCCATCCCATTTCCCTTTTGATTTTAAATTTGAAAGCCAAATTAACATATAAAACATAGGGGAGCCTCACTGTACCACAACCCTCTGTAGAAGGAGACTGTGGAAAGCTTTGGAGAGTCCAGCCCTCTCCGAAGTGGGAAGCATGTGTGCCGAACTTATTCCACATTTGTTCTCCTTCTAGAAGCCTGTTAGGCACCCTGTGACCTACAGAATCCCAAACCAAAGTTCCCCAGACACTTATGAAGCATGTGTACATTCATAATTATCACAAATGTAGGAAAGGAGACGCCTTTTAAATCAAAACACAGTGCTACTATTTTACGAATTCTGTTCAGAATGTGAAAATGAGCTCTCTTTGTGTTATGAAAAGGACACTTTGGCTGGCTTTCTGGACGTTTTCACTCTGTAAAATTATAATTGTGTGCACTGAATACAACTCAATAGACCCATCTCAAATGGTTTGAAAGCCTTAGGCACAAGTACCTGAATATTCTTTAATCGTAACTAATTTCCACCATTGGATACACTGAGTTGAAAACCTAAAAGAAACTAAATGTTGGTGACAAATCAGAGGAGAAGAGAATCTTGTTCACTAATTGAGACAAAATTGTAAGTAGAAATTGGTTTCTAGCTATCTGTTACATTTCCTAAAAGTGAGGGTGGCCAGAACGTTGGTTTTGGACTTGGGAGTTAGGAACTCAGAAGCACAAATCTGTTCACTCACACTGAATATTCTCACAGAGAGAGCTTCAGTGGTTTTGTATTATTTATGATGACACAGCATATAATTTTGTAGGGAAGTGACTCAAACATCAAATATTAGCCCACCTTCGTGCATATGGTAGTTGGCTTATAATAGTGAATGCTCTGGAAGGAAAGAAATATCCTCAACAGTGAATTTCTGGAACAATCATTATTTATAAAAGGAATGGCTGTCCTTTTGTTATTCTACAGACATCAGTTCCGAATAGAATCTACAATTGATTATTTTAGGCTTTTTGGTTTAGACTTAGTGTTTGCACTCCAAAAATATGAAAAATTAGCTCAGAGAGAGAAAACATACTTCTACTTTGAGTAGAAATGCCTTCTGCCTAGGTGTTCAGAATTCTTTTACAGAATTGTACAAAATCAGGAAGTCTGTCTCACCAAAGCATTTTTACAAATACGAAGAGAACGAGGCATTATTTCGTGAAAGGATATCATCCAACTAACATTTATTGAGCAT